TACCTGTCAGCACATACATGAAAAACGGTGATGAAAATCACCTTATTAAACAGCATAATGTTTCTCACTGCCTATGTAGCAAAAACGTTTTTTTTTGTGAAAAACGGGCCTTGAAAGCATGGGCATTTTTTCTTAAAAATCGGTCCCAAAAAGCGCCCATGCTTAGATATTCATAAGAAAAAGGAAAAAAAACTTAGGCCGGGCTCAAGTCCATGTATATACATATGTATTTGTATATCCATGTAATGTACATAGGTAGGTCAGGTTCGAGTTAGGATAAAATAGGATCGGGTTCGGGCCAGGTTTGGACTATCTAAAAGCTAGGTCCAGACCTAGCCCTAAAAGTAAAAAAGAAAAATCCTGAACTTTGGGCCCAGGCCCAGCCAATGAAAATTGCAGCTAGGTCAGTCTGAGTTCGTGTTGGGCCCATATAAGTTGCACCCCTAGTGAAATGTTAATTCACTCTACAAATTCTTCGAACACTAATGGATCATGCGGGGACGGCCCGCTACTAAATTTAGATGGTCAAATTCATTTCCATGGAGTTTATATGGATTAACATGTCACACAGGAAGATCCCTGTAGACATCACAAGCCATCTGACATAGACGGCCGAAATTTTATCCTTTCTTGTGGGCGTTGTAAGAGCTGAGTTTTATGGGCCCAGCCTATGAGGAGAAGTCTTGTGCTGTACTTTTGTGGGCCCGAGTTTCTCATGCTAAGTTTTATGGGCCCAGCCACTTTTTATTTCCAACTTTCTTCTTCTTCCCTCGTCTCTCTTCAGGCTCGAAGAATACAAACAGTGGACATGTCTTCTGTAAATACAATTTATTTGGAGTTTATCATTAATCAATTCAAGCATCCTTCTAAGTACTTCATTTAGTAAGAAGTTGTATGTCAGCCTTGGAAAAAACAATCCAGCTTTAGTAAAAAGTTGGGTATGTGTCCATCAGTAAGTGCTCGGAAGCATTGGACTCTTCATTGAAGAAGCAAATTTTCTTTTCTTAATTAGTTCGAGGCTACATATTGTTGTATGTATGTAAAATGGTTTTATTAGAAAATGATATTGAAAAGGAATTCAATTTCTTTATTTTCCTGGTGTTTGGATTAAATTGCAAAAAGAAAAAAAAGTGAATGGTTTCCCAAGAAAGAATCGTGGAATATTAAAAGGAATGTCATTTGACTCATTTCCTAAAACTTCTACTCTTTTCCTCCCTTTCGAAAGAAGTTTTTTTTCCACGGTCATTAAGGTGTAATGAAACTCTGTAAAATAAGGTTTTCCTCCATCACAAATGCAACCAAATGAAGCCTTAAAAGAATATTCTCATGATTACTCCTAAATATGAGTTCAGAATTCAGAAAGAAGGAAAACAAAGGTTTAACAATAATCGTAAATAGCATCTAGTCCATTATGTGTTTTTGTTATCTTTCCTGCTGGACGACCATAAAAATAACAAGACAAAAGAAGGAAAAAAATAAAAGAAAATGCTTCTGATTGATAATTGGGAAGCAGTCCAAAAGAATCAAAACCATATTATTGATATTAACTAGTAGAACTATACTTCAAATCAGAAAAAGAAGGTTTAGGTGTTCCAATGTAGGATTACTGGATGGAGCCCAACCCAGTTAAGCTAAAATGAATTTATCCCAACCCAGGCCCGGTTTAAGCCCAATGGACCTTGTCAGGACCCCCTGGGTTATGTTTAGGACGCTCTAAACTTCCAAGTTCCAATGAATATGAACTTTTTATTGAAATTTTGATTAGCTGAACGCTTTAGCTGTATTGCGGGCTGTGAAACGAATGATAATGCCCCATACCAATGACAAAAGTACATAGGACCCATACTGAGAGGTTGAATGGTTGTGGGTCCTATTGGTGTGGACTGTGGAATGTTATTAATTCCACAATCTATTAAACAGTTATTGAGTTCAGTTAATCCTATCTCGTCTGGACTGACGAAATGGATCAATACAACAACGAGGATCTTAAATTAAATTAGAAGAGGTAGTTAGGAAAGGCAATTATCTTTAGGACAGCTAAATGAGTCAATGTGCATGCTCTTTGATGGTTCAAGTTGAAATATAATAAATATAAACAGGAATAGCCTCTCTTTTTTTTTTTTAATAGTTTTGAAGGAATAGTATGATATGTACAGCTATAATAATTAACAAGTTTTCTTTCCATTGTGAATGTTGCTTCTCCAATAACCATTGTATTAGACAGAGCTTTTCTCCATCTCCTTATTATATTCATCAGAAGTCAGAACAGGATTATAGGAGAATTTGAGCCAATTTTAATGTGATAAGAGTGCCATGTTTTACAGAAACAGAAGCCACCCCTTGGACTCCATCGATATTGCTCAAACATGTGGCTTTGAAAGTACCTTTTATCGATGCGTTCCGATTTGGCACGAGAGATGCAGATTTGATACCAAGGCTCTTCTACTGTCTGGACTCTGGATAGGCGAGATGGAGTTTTGAGTGAGACAAATGAAGCCCACAAAGGCACATGATCATAAGCAAATTTATTATTGTCCACTCAAGAAGATATGAATGCCATATACACACAGAAATTTGAGAAGGGGGACAAACGATTTCTTTAAATGCAATCAAATAACGACAAATGTCACTAGACTAGTACTAGAACCCACATCTCCTTGTCTGCTTGACACATTTTGTGATATTAGATTAGAATTAGATAGATGGATATATCAATCCATACGGCAGGTTGGGTTTAATTTCTTCTAATTACTTTGGATTTTGGGTTATCAGAATCCATTTTTGCCAACTGTCCTGATTAATTAGTTCTAATCACACTTGAGAGCCATTGTCTTGTTTATAAACTGAGCAATTGGAGTGGAGTTGACCATGCATAGAAATCAGATGCCTTTCTCCCCACCTGCTCTAATCGGAATCTCATTGTCAGTCGGTCACCATGTCTCAATCACCTCTTGCCGCAGTTTTCAGCGATATAAATTTATAGGGGAATACTACCTGTACACAGCAGGTGATTCCAGAGATCAAAGCCTCAAACTTTTTGTGTGGTTCTGTACTTCTCTTCTCAGCAGCACATGCACTTCCAAAAAAAACCTTCTCCACAGTCCCACTCTTCTATCTTCTTTCTGACGCAGGATTCCTGTGGGGGTGGGCCGTATCCATGGATGATCCAAAGCAACCACCACAACCTGAAACAAGGTCGCGAAACTCTGAGGCCTCCGGTCGCTTTTATATGTTTTATCTGTCTGGCCACGCTTTGCGCAACGTCAACGTGCAACCCCTCCATACACTGAGCAGATCATCCCTTTCACAGAATTGCTCCTCCGATTTTAACTTCTTAACCTTGTAAGCGTAATATAATATCATCTAATAAAAAGTAGGTCTGGTGATGGTGATTCGTGATGATGGACAAATTAGTCGAAGGGTATATTCCTTAGTTATAAAATGGGTAAAATACAAAAACCTTTCCCTGAAGTTTTTGGCAATCATAAAAACCTCCCTTTTAGTTTTACTTTAACAAAATCCTCCCTTGAATTTTTAAAGAATTCAACAATAACCTCCCTTCCGTGATAAAATCCTCCTTAAAATGTTCAAATACCCATCTTACCCTATCTAAATCGGCAGCAACACGTCCAAAACCGCTACCATTCATCTCTCACCATTAAATCTAACAACGTTGTTGTCGTCAGCCACGGTTTGATCAGATAGTTCACCATTCCAAGACACGGACTCTGATATCGGTGGTGACACATGCTTTGGTGCCTTGGGAGACTTACCAACCATAGGCATCGGTGTTGGAGCCAGTGTTGGCACTGGCATTGGCCAAGCCTTGAATAACTCCTTGGGTAACAACACTTTGTCAATCGTGTAAATCGCTAGAGGATGCTGGTCTTACAACGTCCTCGTTATCTTGGTTGTCACAATCTTCTCCAATTTTACCAACTCGCTGTTGTTCTAAATTGTGGAATCATATTATTGGCACCATCTATTGCTAACGTGTTCACAACTCCGTTATTCAACCTCAACATTTCCATGGAATCGTAAACAGGAATTCCGTGATACAACAACAACAAATTATTCCCATCCGTTATTAGGTTCTTGTATTTGGGCATGAAGTCCTTAAACACCTGGTCAGTGGGGCATAACACCGTTAACCCTCCTTCAATGTTGTTATCAAATGTCTACTCAATTTCAGAAGCCACTAGCGTATCTGTGAAAACCTTACAACCTTGCTTTGACATTAGAGATGTGAGGTTTAGTTCGCTGGGGTTCGGAGTGGGGGCTTTTTCTTCAACGGATGCCATGACCTTGCCGTGCTTGGATTCGACTCCAAAGCCAACCTTGCTACCTTTGAGATTGGTGATGTTGACGAAGCTAGAAGCGTCGGGGGCAGAGCCGATGGCTTAGAACATGGTGGCAGTCAAGATCGTACCATTTGTCATTTGAAGCTACTTTTGTGCACCAAAATAATCGAGGAGAACATGAAGGGATAGGACGTTTTTGGTAATTTGATGGTGTAGATGGAGAGGTGTGACAGGAGGTCTAACATGCCGCCATTGTAGACTACGTAGACTGCGACGGTCTCACGTTTGTTGATCTCTACGACGAGTTGAATGATAGCTATATTATGTGCATCGGTGACCTCGACTAAGAGTAGGAAGAGAGAGGGTTATTGCTCCAGTGGCCATTGGGAAGAGCTGCATTATTTGAGTAGAATGAAAATACTGTAGTGGTTTTGGGTGTGTTGTTGTCGATTTTGTTAGGGCAAAATGGGTATTTGAAAAAAATTGATGCACTGGTCTAACGTTTTTCATCTGGATTACTGATGGAAGGGAGGTTTTTGTTGAATTTATTCAGGGGAGGATTTTGTTAAAATGAAATTAAAGGGGATATTTTCATGATTATTTTTGTATTTTACCCTTATAAAATAGAACAGAGGTATTATGGTAACTTCACCTAAATAGCACCGCACAATTTATTCTCTCTATAAATGTAAATAATAATATCTCCTCCCACAGCTACCAAGCAAACCTCTCTTTTCTTCGTCTCTGCTACTGTGAACTCTTGCCTCCCTGTATCTTTGTTTCCTTTGGAAATGGGCAGAAAGTTCTTCGTCGGCGGCAACTGGAAATGCGTAAGTAGATCGTTGATCCTTGGGATCTGTTCCTATTATTTGTTTGCCCTTTTTATCTTTTCTTTGTATTAACCAGCACATGAAATCCATAGTTGAAGTGCTTTAGATCTCTCTTTTACTGAGATGGTTCTCCGATTTTGGTCACTAGTTTCAGGCGATGGGTTTCTGTAGTCGGATTATAGTTGGATTTTAAATCAGTTTAGGCAATCCGGTCTTGTCATCCGTATGTATAGTTGGATTTTATATGTTGATGCCATTTGTGAGATTTCATAATTCAGTGTTTTCCGAGATCTGGTGATGGACTTTTTTGGATTTTTGCTGTCTCGGTTGCTCTTGCATGCAAACTTAAATAGTAAAGTTGTCATTTTCCCACTCTATAGTTGCAGTCCTAAGTCTATTTTGAAATAGACGAACGATAATAGGAGCAACTGTGTTACTAAACACTGTCATGGATGAGTAGCTAGAATTGAGTTTCATCTAAATTTTCCGATGCGTATTTCCTTTTTGTTGAGGAACTGAACTTGAATGAATCTCCATTTAGAATGGAACCAATGAAGAAGTGAAGAAGATTGTCTCCACACTTAATGAAGCGGAGGTACCCTCTGAGGATGTTGTGGGTAAGTGGCTGAAACTGCTTTTACTTATGTTGGTTTGTTAAACTCTTACTGTCTCCTTTCGCTCTTAGTGCCATCTTTCTTCATTGCTGAGACTTTTATTCTTTCGACTATTGCATGGATCTTAATCACATTCTAATTTTCAAGTTGGAAGTTAGTGTTGAGTTTTCTTCTATTTGGAATTCTATTCGAGTCTTTTATACGAGCATATCAAACAGTATATATTTGAATTTTTCATCGTATTCGGGGAGATAAAGAGAGGAACCTTAACACCCTTGAGGCATATTCATGATCCAATATGTTTGATATACCGGAATTCCTCATACCAAAATTTCGTCTAATTGTCCCTCAGAAGAACAAGAAAAAAAATCACCTGGTTGTGTGCCTTCAGTTTCGAACATGTTCTTCAATGGTTGGAGAAAAGGTTATGGTGAAGGTGAATGCTATTCTACTGAATTAGACTTAATTGGGTAATTTGGTCAATAGATGTTATATTCTGGTTGGTAAATTCGTAAATATAGAAAGTAGATAAAACAGCAGAGATTTTAGTTAATCAGGCTTTACCTGCTTCATTTAGAGTTCCTAGGTGTCATATAGAGTCTACTCAAATTTCTTTGACATTCCTTTATGGTGAATGGTCTTTCAAAAGATAAATAGGATGGATGGTCGTTGTAACTTGATCCGGTTGACGTTAAGGGCTGTTTTGATAACAGTTGAAGTAGCTGAACTGAATGGCTTATTCCTGTTTCTTTTAGTGATTAGTGAAAAAGTTATTAAGGAGGTTGTGAGCTCCTTAAGCTAAAACTGAAGTTGGTTGATAACCATACCTTTGAATAGTTTATTGTTTAATTATTTTATCCATTAAAAGACAAAATACCAAGTCATTCAGTTCAGCCACTTGAGCTGTTATCGAACAGCCATAGTCTACAACTTATTGTGGGTGGGACCTATCAAATTGTGGACCTTTTCATGGCTTGATTGTTTAAAGATTTTAGGCATGGCTGCCACTTCCCTACTTCCAAGTTGGAAAAACAAGGATGAAATAATCTAAACTTAATCAAGTTTCATTTTTTCACAATGCAAACTAAGGAAGAAATATTTCTCCCCTGGTCTTTTAAGAGAATGTTGAATGCTGACAGAATTCATGAAACAGTTCCTACTTCCTAGTAATGGAAGTAGTTGTACCTTGAAACTTTGTCTAGGTTTTGAATCTGAAATATCACTTTAACATGAATGACTTGGGAACTGTGATTTTGTAGGGGAGAAACTTGGGTAGGCCTGGCCACCTGGGTTTAGCAATTCTTGAAATATGAAGGGCCCATCCAGGCCTGATGCAGTGGATATTCTTCAGATCACTTTCCCAATTTGCACCTTTATAATTTTCTCAGGCAACTTTGTGGAACTACTCTCAATTTCTATCTCAAAACCCAGTTGTGGTTAATTTTGATGTCTTTGGGTTAACTAAGTACTAAGATTAGTCTAGATAAACTAATACTTTATTGTTGGTTTAAGTGAATTCCCCCCCCACCCTCTCTCTCTCTCTCTCTCTCTCACACACACACACACACACATTTATATTATCTTGGGAGATGTTTTGATACTCAAATACCTAATTGTTGATGTGGTACAAACGTGTTATTATTGCAGAGGTCGTTGTAAGCCCTCCATTTGTGTTCCTTTCTTTGGTAAAAAGCTTATTGAGGTCTGACTTTCATGTTTCTGCACAAAACTGTTGGGTAAGGAAAGGAGGTGCTTTCACTGGTGAAGTTAGGTATGTTTCCAGTCAGCTTCTCCTCGCTCAATTGCAAGCCTTGGCACATTCTTTTCAATTATCATAATAAACAAATCTCATGATGGGCATGTTTCCCTAGCAGATATATTACATGGATTGCTTGCATGTTTTAAATATTATTTTAGTATTTTCAAGGTTGTAATTGTCATTGATGCTGTTTTCACTTTATGTGGCATGACTAATTTGTTCAATTCTTTTGAGGACTCTCTTTTTTTTTTTCACCAAGGGGCCATTTGGTAACTGCTGAAATGGCTGAACTAAAAAGTTTTTTTTTTTTTTTTTTGTCTTTTAGTGAATAAGTTTTTAAGGAGGTTGAGATTGTGGACTCCTTTGAATAAATCAGTATTTAATTATTTTATTTACTAAGAGACAAAGCAAGTCATTCAGTCAGCAACTTCATCCGTTATCAATATGCCCCTATGTTCATCTGTTCTTTCATCTTCAGTGATATGTAGCATTGTTCTTATTTTCAAATTCTAGTTTGCAAGCAGGGTATTTTTTGTCATATTGATGTTTATTCATATGAAGAGACACGTTAGATATCTCTGAACTGTTGCACTTATTTTCATTTCATTTTCTCAAGTGCTGCTTTTACAAAGATAGTAACATAATTTGTTTTAAGATATACCATCTTAAATTAATTATGTAACCCATTTTGTGACAAATGATTGTTTAGTGACTTGATGTCTCCTGTTGACAGTGCAGAGATGCTTGTCAATTTGAGCATTCCTTGGGTCATTATTGGTCATTCAGAAAGAAGGCTATTATTAAAGGAATCAAACGAGGTATTATTTTTCTACTTTTTGGTGAATAGTATTAACAAAATAAAAAAAAAGAAGCGTGACCACACACTAAGTGACGTGGCTCAAAAGTTCAGCTGTCAGATCTTGTTCTCCAGATTTGTTCAGGAGAACAATGTATGCTCAGTACATGGGTTGGCATGGTGTCAAGGAGGGAAGAAGGCCAGACTGTTATTCTTTCTTGCTCAATATTGAGAATGCTTTCTCCATATGATTGATTTATGCTCAACCTTTCTATGCTGCACAAATCAATGTAGCATCCTTCCTAATTGACAATTTTGGGCTTTAACTCACAACTCTGCAGTGTAGACTAGACTGCAGTTCTACATTTCTTTTTGATAAGCAACCTAAGAATTTTATTAGAGAAAACTCCTAGCTGCCCTAAGAATAAGGCATCAGATCCAAAATATAGGCAATGCCAGCTTCAATATGAAAAATAAGACTGTAACAGAAGTTACAGAATTACATATTGGATCCTGTCCCTGGAAAACCCCATTCCAAATTATCCCTAACAGCACCTGCTTTAGCCAATGCATCAATTACCATATTTGCACTTCTAGGTATTCATTTGAATGAGCTGTTCAAATTGGCACCTACGATTTGTGCATTTCTAACCAGATGCCTAAATCTCCAACAAACCTCCTCTGCTTCTTCATCCATGAAATTATGTTTGGCAGTTCCCCTCCTCTTCCACCTACCTAAGCCCATTTGTTTCCAAATGCTTTATGTCATATGGATACATCCCCCTTATCATGCTTCACAATTTACTTTATATGCTAAATGAATTTGGAGTGTATGCAAATGAAAGGGTATGCAACTATCTACATACATGTTCTCTATGTTTCAGTTTGTTGGAGATAAGGTTGCATATGCACTTTCTCAAGGCTTGAAGGTGATTGCTTGTGTTGGGGAGACTCTTGAGCAGCGAGAATCAGGAGCTACTGTGGACATTGTTTCTGCACAGACAAAAGCAATTGCAGGTACTGCCATATTTTGCTTGGTACAAGCTGCACACATTTTACATGCAATTTTATTATTATTATTATTATTATTATTATTAAAACTAGGAGGAGCAACACAACATGGGGGGTAGCTCAGCCCCATGCTATTTATTATTTTTGCTTCAAGTTCTTGATCTATTTGAGGTTTAGGTTTTTTGAGATGAAGGTTCTTGTCCCTGGTGTCATCCATGTTTTTTAGCTGTTTTGTATACCAAAAGGCGTTGTTTGGTATATTTAATTACCTTGTTGTGCTTTTTTGTTGTTTTACATTTAATTAGGCAATTGAGGTCTTAAACTTTATCATACTGATAAGAATATACCTTAGCTTTACTGGATTTGAGATAATGTGGCTTTGAAATGGGGGTTGGACATTGTTGTTGAACTGTTGTAGTCTTATCTCTTGTGGACTTGTGCAAGACACTATGATGTAGTTGCTTCGTGCTTCATTTCTGCATCTTGTAACTGTTGTGTTTCTGGTATTGCTTGGTGTTACCAACTTCTCTGTATTTTTTATTTGCATCATGTTTATATTTAACATGGGGAATTCCTGTTGAAACCTCAAACCAATTTTTGGGCTTTTGGAATTGCTTCAAGTTACTTATTACCCACTTCACTCTTATTGTGTGCTATTAGTTAGAGAAATGGCTTGAATGCACTATAGTTAGGAACTAAACTTGCTTTATGATTATCTTGTTTTCTATTTGATGTTTTTCATGAATGTCATTGGTTTTTAAATTAAACTAGTCTTTGCAATTGCATTCTGAAATGAAGAAAAGAAAGATATAGATGCTCAAGACAGTATCTTTCATTTGATTGCTTCATTTCTCCTTTTATATGGGTTTGTTCCTTACTGCGGTAACAACTCCAAAACTGGATGCAGAAAACTCACTTTTAAAACCATAATAGATACATTAAATAAGAAAACCTATTGATGTTAAGCTTTTAGTTATTTTCTTTGCTTCACTGCAATTCTATTCAAGTTCAAAGAGGGGAAATTTAGATGGGTTGTGTGCATACCTCTTTTCTGGGCAACAACCCCCCATCTCAAGTCATATGGAACAATGCTATGCCAGGCTAATCTCCTTATCATAAACATATAGATTGGCATGATGTATAGAAGGTATATTCTATCAACAACATGTCATTTCTTTGGGAAGGTGCTATTGCCCTGAAACTTAATGTTTAAAAATAAAATTACATTAATTTCCTTTTGTGGCTGGATACTAATATGTTTTTCCTTGCAGATAAAGTATCAAATTGGGATAATATTGTCTTGGCCTATGAGCCTGTGTGGGCCATTGGGACCGGAAAAGTTGCAACCCCTGCTCAAGCACAGGAAGTAAGTAGTGGTGTTTCTATTGGCTATAGTACAATGGTTCCAGTATTCTTATTGAATGGACCCATTTTTTATATTGATGGCCTGTGTCATTAGGGCTGCAACTTGGGCCAGGTTAGGCCAAAGTTGGGTTGGCCAGTTGGGTTGGGTCATGTTGAAATTCAGGTTACGGTTAGGGTTGAAAAGTATCCCAACTTACTAATTATTCAGTTTGTGAGTTAAAATACTAGTTTCTTTTTATTATTTTCTTATTTTATGGGGTTCAATCAACATGTATGCTGTCTTGAACCCTCAAAAACTTCAAAACATGAATTGATGATAAGCGAGGAAGAACCCAAAAGTTTTTTTTTTTTTTTTCCAATCAACACATATTGATTATTTTCTTCTTTTATCCTTTCTTCTCTTCTTTTCCCAAGGATAGGGGCTCAGCTCCTCTATTATGGATATTGCTGATTTTCTATGTTCTAATGAAAGTTCATACATTTTTTTATGAAGATTATAGACAACTACTAGGGAAAGATGGTTACTACTTGCCATGGAACCTCGGGAATTACCCACACTCGAGGTCTATCCATGGGTGTATCAACATATTTCTTTAAAAAATTGTCATATTCATTGCACTAACTATATATTATATGCATAACAGGTGCATTCTGAATTAAGGAAATGGCTTCATGAGAATGTCGGTGCTCAAGTTGCTGCCACAACCAGGATTATCTATGGAGGTAACTGATTATTATTTGGGCAAGCTCTCTTCTACGAACCATCATCATCTCTAAGAAATCTATTGTGCTTATACATAAGGAAATAAATCAGTCTTCCAATTCCTACACTGATTTCAGAATTTTTCTGGTGATAGGGATATTGGTATTTTTGAGTTATTTAAATTTATTTTCCGGGTGTAGGCATCTTAAGAATGGAATTTTAGGTTTCTAGAAATCACTATTATTTCTAGTTGTACTTCTCTTTCTTTCTAACTTATTACTCGTTCTTTGGTGGACAGCAAGCTGTCCAATTTCTTCTCCATCCCTATTCTTCTCGTTAATCATCAAAAGCTCCTCCTTCACTTAGTCATTTGTGCTACCTTGTCCAATAACCTTTTTGTCATCCCTGTCCAACAACAAAGAAACTTGTCTCTCTTTGATCCCTCCAACAATTAATGGTGACACGGTAACAAAAATAGGAACACAACAATAATTAATTGATTTTTAAGCTTTTAAAAGACTATAGCTTAAAGTGATTATAATGATTCTTTTTCAGGTTCTGTAAATGGAGCAAACTGCAAAGAGTTGGCTGCACAACCTGATGTTGATGGGTTTTTGGTTGGTGGAGCTTCTCTAAAGGTAATTTTTTCTTGGCTGTCTGAATAACCATCTCAATGGATATTTTTGGCTGAGATTTTTGGTTTGATAGATAGGCCGATGTGAAAGATAGCATATCTTTTTATTTTAACCTAAAAGAAGCAACGCCAGCTGAAAAAAAAAAACATTTTGAGATTAGCATATCCCTTTCCACGAAATTCCTGCAAACCAAACAGTTGGGTTTTTCTGTCTGGGCTTCTTTTATCTAGTGGTTTTGGTGGTTTACCCTTGCATTGCTGGCTAACATTCTCTCCTCTTGCCAAAATTTTCTTATCAGCCGGAGTTCATTGACATCATCAAGTCTGCCACTGTGAAGACTGCTTAAGCTTGGAACCACATACGGTGGTTTATGCTGGGAGTTTTTGTTGGTGACAAAAACTGCCACCCTGTAGTTTTCCCTTCAAAAACTGTTACTTCTAAGAGCCACTATTATCTATGTATCTATGTAGTATGGTTGATACCTAAAACTAACTGGATGTGAGCCAGCAGGATTCTGAGTTTAATAAATTGAGAATGTCCCTCTTTTTGTCACTCTTCTATGATGTTGTAAATCCTACTATTGATTTTAGTTTGGTCGGGTTTTTGGTCGTACCGATGCCCTATTGCCTGGGTGACTGGCACCTGCTGCCATGCGGGAAATTATGGCTTTGAATTGGTGATTGTTAGGGAATGGAATATGGATTCGTCAGGGCCTTCTTATACAATGTGTTTCATAAATATGGTGCCCAAATTGTCTGCATCTTTGAAATTTATTTAAATTACCAAGACTCTGGACAGAAAGTTGTTTTGGTTTTCTGGTTGTTGGGGTTTCTATAGACGGTGGACCTACTTAACTTTCTGTTTCTCTCTATTTTGTCAAAACAAACATAGCCTAATTGTTTGTCACCAAAAATCAAAAAAAAAAAAAAAGGCTTCCTTTATTTGCACTCAAAGTGAAAGACTGTAATTTGGCACGGGAGGAAATTAATGGCCAATACTTGATTTGCTATTGATTTGGCTGTTACTTTATAATATTTAAACATAAATGAGATTTAATCTCAGCATCTTACCCACATCAATAGCTGGTTTAACTTATCTCAGACGTCTTTGTTATGCATTCTTACGCATGCTCTACGACTAGTGGTCTGTATCATTGTATCTTTGTAATATCTGTATTGCATTGCAAATGATACCGCTTTAAGCAGCAGGAATGCAGGATTAACACTTGCAATCGGTTATTATTGGGGTGAAGCTACTATTACTATTTAAACACCTGCAGTCAATCGACTTTTATTGGTCTGATACGCCATGGAGTAGATTCTTCCTCCAACAGGCACTTGATAACAGTGAAAGCATCGCCCTTTAATAATTTCAACAAACCTTGAACCCATCTCTTGTGCAAATTTCCAACTCTCAAAAGTTTTCACTTGTTACACAAATGGGCGCAAGTTTTTACTTTGACTCAAAGATGGGTGCCATATGCAAATATATGTCTGCACAAACTGTAGCAAATCCGAGCCCCAAATTTTACATATGGCATGGCATTCGGAAAAAAAGCTTCAATATGAGCTGTTCAGTTCTGATTAGCTACGTGATCATCGAAGTGGCCTCTTCGGATAACAATGACTCACCTGCAGACTGCAGGTGACCCAATCATGACTCTTGTTTATATTCTTTTTCCATATTATTAAATTATAGTTGAAACTTGAAACTTGTGCATGAATATATTTTTCTTTATTAAAATGAAAAGGGGCTCAAGATCAAGGCCTGAAGCATTGATATCAAGGCCCGCTGGAAAAGTTCACTAGCCTCCCTTATTTCTGAAAGATGTTTTTGACCTCTTTGTCATACACATTTTCGTCAATGAGGCTGGAATTGCTTAGACCCCAAATCACTCTTGGCACAAGTTTAGGCCATGGAGATCATTTTCAGTGCATCCAAGATGGGGGGGTTTTCATCAAAGTTCGGTTCAGGGGACAAGTCATTATGATTCATGGCTTCCCGCTCATTCTTCTTCTCCACCTAGTGAAACGTCATTTTCCATCCATAACTGTCCCACTGCTACTGAGGATTAGGGAGGTCAAAAACACTTTTCAGAAAGAGGCGGTCGGCTAACTTTTTTCTGAAAACATTGATGAGTGATCTGATTATATTTGGAGAAAACTCGGGAACTGGATCAGAAATGGTTGGACCAACAATAAAAATCATCCACCAGAATCTAGCCGTCCTTGTGCATTACCTCAAAAACAGCCAACAGAAAATAAGTAGGATTCAATGGTTTTAGAAGTTGTGCCCACCTATTTGTATGGTTCAACTCAACTGCCCAATTTAATGAGTTCATCTGGTCGATCTTAAGTCTTAACACATACAAAAGCCGGTCCATTTGGGTTGGCTGCTTTGGTCTGACTTGGTCCAACAGTCTCGTTATCGTTAGTACTGTAGCAAGACTAGCATGAATTTGGATTCAGTCTTACAATCTTTTGTAGCCGTGCATTGAAAACATCTAAATACTTGTATGTTTTTATTCATGAGAAGATATTTTCCATGTAAAGCGAGGACTGAATGATCAGAATTTGACCGGCACAAGCAAATGAATTTAAGTCATTGGTATTCCAAATTTGGTCCATTAAAAGAAGAAAACTCTGGGTGGGCAGTGCAGGCATTTTGTATTTTAATTTGTTTTGTTTTGTTTTGTTTTTCAAAACAAAAAACAGTTGAAGAACGTATTTTAATTTTGTACAATGATAGATAGAACACCGAGTTAAGGCATTTTGTTTCCGCCACCAAAATTGAATGGCCTGTGATAGAATCACGTCAGGGGCAGATACAATTCTTTTACTCTGAACTACAGATGCTTGCATATGCGTGGGTCATGTAAGAACTAAGAAGCTTCCCACATGAACCCACTTTCTTTTCAACGTGGAGGAATCTTATGGCCGATCTCGACTGTCCAAAGAGGCCCACTAGATATTTCATACGTTCAAACCCACACTCTTCATATATCTGATAATATGATGATGCATACTTCATCATCTCAATGTAGAATTTAATAAAGGAAGAAAAGAAATTTTCACAACGGTATGTGGATACATACTTCATTTTTTCTTTTGTTTAGGGACGATGAACAAAAGTCAAAATGTAGATAAAGACAAAGCAAATAAACAATTCTTGCATGTCCATGGTTCCTTGCGCTTGACTTTGACTCACTTCTTGATCCAAAAGAATAGATAAATCTTTTATGTTCTGGCTTGTTATACCCAAAGATATCTAATCATATGCAATGCAAGAATTTAATTTCTTTGCTTTACAAGAATCCTTTTGTTCTGCAAACAAATTTTTTTTTTTTCATCTTGATTAGAAGCCACATGCAATTAATCTTGCAATCAATTGGTTTTTGGATGCATTATCATTTTTTTATCATGGCAAATGGGCTGGTTGGGGTGGTGAGCTATGGGCCGAGTAAAAAATATATGAAGTATCACAGTTGAATGAACTGAGACTGGATCATTTTTTATACAGAGGAGAGAAAGAGAGATGGCAGCCCAAAGTCTTTCTTTTTTCCTGATAAGTACATTATAGCACAAAGTCAAGATACCCAACATCATATTGACTTTGAGCCCGTGATCTTTTTTTTTTTAGAGGAGGTGGGGTGGTGGCTAACTGGCTATTCCTCAACAACCTGCAAATTAGGGTAGTTGATTTGTATTCCCACTTTGGTTTAAATTTGAATCGGAAGTCTCCTAACTCCAACTGATCTGGACCGGCCTGACCTAGCTAGCCCCTCCTCATCCAGTCATCCTGGTTTTGTCTGGTGCAAGAAACAGGAATGGACAGCTGCTGCATTATTGGGAACTGAATAACTAGAATTAATTCTAAATACAGGGTTTCATTGTGATTAGCAAACGTCTACTTCTACCCAATTTAATTGACACCCCAAAAAATTAATTATTGCTAAACTTGCTTGCAAAGTTGTTTGTCTTTAACACACACTCAGAAGCCAGACAGAGCGAGATAGGGTTGATATGAGTAGTGCAATGCAATATTTACTATTGCAATACATAACACCAATGACTGGGGAATCTTTTTCTATATTTTATTTTAGAAGCATAAAAGGAGGTCAGAATTCTCAGAACTTAGAGAGAGAGAGAGAGAGAGAGAGTTTTTAAAGGTCAAAGAGTGCCAAACAAGAGGCGTGAGTCTGTGTCATCGTTGAATATAAGCTTCTTACTTCTGATCAGTGGCTAAGGGCTCAGCTCTGCACCCTCCAAACCTAAGTTGAGATGGAATAAGTCAACACTCACGAGGGCTAGCTTTCTCTTGTCTTTCCTATTGTCTCCTTTAAGCCTTTAACCCTTATCATCTCTCTTTATTAGGAGTTTTCTCAAACAACAAACAGTCGTCAACCTATTACCTGGTTGTATTCACACTCGTTCCCATTGTTGTTATCAACCATATATGATATTATATACATATATCTTACATCTTATCTTACAATATAATACAACCTCCAAAAGCTGCTTTTTCATCAAAATGGGCTGGGCCGGTGGGCCCTGAGATAAATGGACGGTTCGCTAGTCCGACTGGCCTTCTGGCCCGTTCTCCGGCTATCTCAATTCTCGACTCTCTCGAGTCTCGAGCGACTGTGTAGGGCAAGCTGGCAGGCACAACAGATGGCATACATGCAATGAATGATGGCCGTCTTGAAAAGGGTCCCACAACCAAGGTATTTCTCGTGAGTGTGAGTTGTCAAGTTGATGGTATGGATTTCCATTTACAGTTAATGAAACAACAAGCACATTTATGGTGCACACTGCACATTGACATCCCCCAGTGGTTTGGCAAATGAATGGTCTTGATCCTTTCGTCACATTTGACTATTGACGTTTCTGTATAGCTAGGTGTTTCTCTAGCTCATTAAATGTTGGATCGGCACCATGTATACGTAAGCCATATATAAGATTGCACATCATCATTTGTACTATCCAATTTCTAGAATATACTACTAATTACCTTATTTTAAAATTTAAAAGCAATTAAATAATTAATTAATATATTCAGAGACATGATCGTTTGCTTGGACCAGACTACACTGCTTTACCGTATTTTCCCTTTCAAACAAAGCCCATGTTTGTAAAATGTAGCTGAACTCGTGTTCGGCTTGGAACTTGGAAGGAATACAAAATACTAATATTTGTAAGTTCAAAATTTTGTATTTTATATATTTATATTTATACTCTCTCTAAAAAAGGCTAGAGCTTAAGAGTTATTAATTATTAATCAGTTTAGGTCAAGCCCAACCCATTCAATGCAGCTAATGGACCCTAAGCTCCAAATGGTGTAGTTGAAACTCGAGCCCATCATTAAATATACAAAGCCATCAATACTATCTTAACATATCATGAATTTATAAAGTAGGACCCATGTCCATAAATTTACTTTCACAGTATCTGCAATTGTTTCCCCATGATATGTTGTGGGTCTTACTAGAAACATAGATAATAATAATATAATAAAGATATAATTATATGATGACTGTTTGCTAATTTGTTTTCTTTTTGTTGATTTTTTTTCCTTAAATACTTTCGGTCTAAAATATTTGATTTAAAATTTTTTGTCCATTTTATGAGAAGCAAATTCTGCCTAAATTATTTGTTTCTTCTTCTTTTTTCTTTTAAAGATACGTTATTTATTTTTTGTTTTTTGTTTTCGTTGGAAGATATGTCAAAGTATAACTTTTCAATAACTTACACCCGTTTTGGAAAAGTCTAAGTAATCCAAATTATTGGTCTTACCCTTCTTTTGTACGCTTGCAGGGTGAGTTTGGTTAAGACTCTTCCATCAGAAGAGGATCCTTTTTTGCTTTGCCAAAATGATTTCTTTAGCTTTCAAATGGGCCCTACGAAAAAATAAAGATTTTCATGCCTTATTTTCATGTTTTAAAGAAAGAAAAATATGAATAATTAGAAAAATCGATATTATCTGTTATAAGAAGTGATTTGTTATACATTTAAGAAATTAGAAAATCCAAGGTAAATTATAAGAGACATAAATAAATAGTAAGAAATAATTATTTAGATATAATTTAAAAAAAAAAAAAAACAGATTAATGAAAAGGAGTTACGTAACCGACCCCATATAACTGGAATAAAGACATTAATGATGATGATGATGTTACCAAGGAAAAAACAAATAATTCAAAAGAAATGGATGTTTTACTGATATCTTAAATATTTCTGCTCATTTGATCTTAGCCAAACCAAAGACCGAGAAAGGTAAATTTTTAAAAAACTTTATTTATTTGCAGCACGTGTCCATTATTAGTTATTAGCAGTCGTTACGTTGGAAACCTTAGAATCTAATGACGATTACGGGAAAATCAAGTGACGGAACCAGCAGAGTTAATGGCCCAAGCCCAACAGCCCCTCCGCTAAATCCTCAAAAAAAGTAATATTAATAGTCAAAAAAAGAAGCAAAAAGTAAAAACCAAGCCAAGCCGACGGTAGACCATAGAGCCTTCCGACAACAACAAATCGGCTTAAATGTTCAATCATTAATTTGGAATCTAACGGTCCAGAAAGCGCAGCCAATGCAGGGGCTATGGTGTTGAAGTATGAGACGTGGAATTAAAAGGATAAGCTTGGGCGGGACCAGCCCGTTCCCACCTCTCTCTCTCTCTCTCTCTCTCTCGCTGCAGTGAACAAACAGGTCAACTGTCTCGCCTTTGGTAGGGACTAGAAAAGAGCTTCCAAGAAACGTACTAGCGAACACCAAGACGAGCCTCCCTTTCTTTCCCCCCTTTTTGATTTCTTCGTCGTCCTTGTTGGTTCCACCCAGAAACCAGAAAGAAAAACCCCTCTTCTAACATCTATAATTGGGTTTCTTCAAGCTTCTATTCGATATCTAGAAAAAGGATGTGATTATTTTTATCCCTTTCTTTTTCGTGTTCGATTAGTTGTTTCTTTTGAATTTTCTTATTAATTGAATATGCAGTCAAAGCAATCAATTGGGGGAGGTCATTCGTGGATGACACCTAACTTTACAGAGAAAAGCTCCTTTTCACACTAGATCTGCTTTGTTTCACGGATCCGGTTCTATTTTTTCAAGTTCTCTGCACCTAAAATCTTTGGTTTCTAAAGGAGTGTGAGGGTCGAAAGAGAAGAATACAACAGTTTGGTTTCGGGATTTGTTGCCATGGGGGCTTGCTGGAGCGCTCGAATCAAGGCCGAGAGTCCATTTCATACGGGTATTGACGTTTTTCTTTGCTTGCTTCAACAATTTTTGACGGGTTCTCTTTGCTTGCTTCGGAAATAATTTACTTGAAATGTAGATTTTATGAGTTCGAATGACTGAATTTGATCGGAGCTGGGTTCTTGCATATTGCTCTTTTCTTCTATTAATTTTCGGGCTTTCAATCTCTTGGTAGCTGAAACTCTGTAGTTCTTGAGCTTGGTTTCCTCGAAATATTTGATTTTGTTTTTATTTCGCGTTTAACTCTCTATGAATGTCCGTGGTTGTTCTGTATTGGAGCCTCTTTGTGTGTCTTCTCCATCGCCCCGATTAAACTATCTCTTCAGTAGTGTCTTTCCCTCTCCATCACGTTGATTCCTTTTTTTTTTTTCATTTAAGTTTCCTTTAATTTTTTCCTTCTTTGAAGGGGTGAGGTTTGGAAGCAAGAAATCGCTTTTATAACATCCAAGTTCATTTTTTTTTTTTCCTGCAAGTAAATGACTAAATGTGCATTTCTTCCCAATCATCTTGAGTCGGTCCCCAGAAAAGTATCGTTTTATTTAAGGATTTATTTGTTATTTTAAGCGGATGGATTTCGTTTGCTGAAAACGCTGATTTTTTTTTTTTTTTTTTTTTTGTAGATTGATCTATAGTTGAACTAATTTGCAATTAAACACCATTGAGTTATTTTACCCGGAAATTAGATTCCCCTGCAATATTTTCTCTGAGATTTACAGGGGAAGTTTCGGTTTATGCACCTTGTGTTCTGCTGTAGCCTACATAGTTTAATAATGTTTTGATCTTGAAAAGCATGAAAAGGGTGTCTTGCTCAATTTTGTGAATTTGGTTACTTTTTATCTGTGAGAATGTCATGGATCCTTGTTTGTGGAATATAATGTTTTACTGCGGTGATTGAGTTTGTTAATTTTTCTCTCCCTTTCTTTTTACATCTCATTTCATGTATGAGTTTATGTAAAGTCATTGCCTTGGCTCTGCAGGGGTGAACTCAAAATATGTGAGCAAAGATGAAAATGATGTAAGTGGTGCAAGTAGCAAAGTCTCAGCTGCTTCAGTGCCTCAAACTCCTCGTAGTGAAGGGGAGATTTTGCTGTCTTCCAATTTGAAGAGCTTTAGCTTCAACGAACTAAAAATGGCCACAAGGAACTTCCGCCCTGACAGTGTTTTGGGAGAAGGTGGCTTTGGTTCAGTCTTTAAGGGGTGGATTGATGAGCATGCATTTACAGCTGCCAAGCCTGGGACCGGCATCGTTATTGCTGTTAAGAGGCTTAACCAAGAAGGTTTTCAGGGTCATAAGGAGTGGTTGGTGAGTATTCCCTTTTAGGCTTCTGCATTTTTCAAAGATCTAATTCATCTTCCTACACTGGGGCTTCTATCTTTATGTTCAAGTTGCATGCTCACAAATTTCTTACTTGAGTGGGTTGAAATCAGGCATTTGAATATATGTGTATGTGGTTTCTTATTGTCGAAATGTCGACCAATTCTAAATCAAGCTTCTCTATATAATCTGGCTATTGGTTGTTCTGGGGACTAAAATTTCCACATTGCAATACTCTTTAGAAGGAATATTCTTTAATCTTTGCCCGAATCTTTGAGCTTGTAGGCAGAAGTCAATTATCTGGGGCAGCTGTATCATCCTAATCTTGTGAAATTGATTGGCTATTGCTTAGAGGATGAGCATCGTCTTCTAGTCTATGAGTTTATGCCTCGAGGAAGCTTGGAGAACCATCTGTTCAGGAGTGAGCTCATTTATCCCTGTCCTACCATTTTGATTTTCCTTTTTTATTTTCTTTTTCTTTTTCTCTTCGGAGGGAGATATGTAGAGTCTGTTGAGTTTTAATTTTTATTTTGTGATTAACATGTTTGGGTTCTTGAAACAGGGGGTTCTTATTTCCAACCACTTTCTTGGAACCTCCGTATGAAGGTCGCTCTTGGGGCTGCAAAAGGTCTTGCCTTCCTCCATAGTGCCGAAACAAAAGTTATCTATAGGGACTTCAAGACATCCAACATACTTCTTGATTCAGTATGTATACTGTAAAACACATTTCGCTGCAATTTTGAGTATGATTGCATTTTATTTGCCAGCACCTGTAAGATTTTGGTCAGGATTTTATCAATGCATTCATACCTTTTCTTTTTAAATGAATTTGCAGAACTACAATGCAAAGCTTTCTGATTTTGGGTTGGCCAAGGATGGTCCAACAGGTGACAAGAGCCATGTCTCTACAAGGGTCATGGGAACATATGGATATGCGGCTCCAGAATACCTAGCTACAGGTATCATTCAATAAAATGGTTTACTTTGATACTCTTTTTATTGGTTCAATTTCTTTCACATTTGCATCCAAAGTACCAGGCCACTGCCATCAAAATTCAATTCATATGGTTTCAATTAAATCCCCGGCCCATTTGGATCTGGCTTGCATTCTCCTTCTCTTATTTCTTCATAACTCTTCTATTAAATGAACCAATTCTTCTTGATATATTGGTTCTCCATATCAAATCTCCTTTGAGTCCTTTGAATTGGCATGAAATAAAATTTGTAAATCTAAATATGTTTTAGACTGTATATGGAAGTGGAAAAGATTTTTTTTTTTTGATGAATGAAGAAAAGTGGAAAAGATTTTCTCAACATCTCTGCCTAATACATGCCGATGGCTTCCTCTTTGCACTGAAATCAAAATAATAAAACAAAGAGGCTTGACATGCAAAATGAGGCTGAAACACATCTAATCTCTTTATTCCTTATTAATTATTAGTCAAGCGTGTTTGTGGAGGATAAGCCAAAGTTATCCACTAATAGAAGGTAAAATAGAAGAGTGGAATACAATTAGAAGATATGGATGACGAGAGAATGTTATAGTAACAGAATTTAGTTTGTAAGTGTTGAATGGATGGTCATAGAATTTAATGTACTATCTGCGTAAGGGCAATTTTGTGAAACAAAATTGAGGAGAATAATCAATTAAAACATGTCATTGGATGGGATGGGCAAAACTGTCTTGCAAAAGATCAGATTGCAACTAATTGCCTCCTTCCTTCCTTCCTCCTTGTATATGGTATTTAAAATTAGATTGGAAGGTAAATAGCACCATGCTACTAGGAAATGTTTACTAGGATGTAACTGGTCACATGAACAGTGGAACCAGCTGAGCTGCAGTGTGATGGGGGAGCTATAGCAACAGGATTCCAAGACTTGCTTTCAGAGGCAAGGTGCTTTGAAATATGTTCTTTCCCATCCCAGAAAAAAAAGGAAAGAAAAGGGAAGGAAATATGTAGTTCCATTTTGTAATCTTGGTTATTTTATTTATTTATTTATTTTGGGGGGTATAAAAAAGAAAAGTAATCATATTGAATTCCTTGTATGACTTGAAAATTTTATAAGTGAGCTTTTGTACAGTCATGATTTTAGGCAAAGAAGCAAAAGAACTAGACCATTTTCTCCATCCTGATCTTCATTTTACCATTACTATTATGAAGGCCATCTGACTGCTAAGAGCGACGTATACAGCTTTGGGGTGGTTCTCCTAGAAATGTTATCAGGCAGAAGAGCAGTGGACAAGAACCGACCATCTGGAGAACACATCCTGGTAGAATGGGCCAAGCCTTACTTGACCAACAAACGGAAAATTTTCCGCATTCTGGATAACCGTCTTGAAGGACAGTACTCACTGACCGGAGCACAAAAGGCAGCAAATCTTGCTCTCCAATGCCTGTCCACAGAAGCAAAGTACAGGCCAACCATGGATGAGGTTGTGGCAGCGTTGGAACAGCTTCAAGACTCCAAAGACACTGTGAGAGACACACAAAATGGAAACCACCCAAATCATGAAAGTCGACCCACCAGTGGAACCAGACCCCGCAGAAGAAGTGCAGATGAATCGCAGAACAGAAAAGCTGCACCTTATCCCAGGCCATCTGCTTCGCCCCTTTATGCTTAACAGCAACTGAGAGAATTGGATTTACATGTAATCTTTACCATTGAAACAATTGAGAGGGTGGTTATGAAAAGCATCATGTCGAAAACAATTCCAGAGGGTATGTACCCATGCTTGTTTGATTACTGTACAGTTCTTGTTTTGGCCAATATATTAAGAATCAACCTTACATCAATACATATTCCAGTTGTGCCTGTTAACTTTTGAGGAACCAATGAAATTACAAAAAGTGTCAGTGGTTTACTGACATGTTTGTAACATCTAAAAGAGATTAGAGAAGAGGAAATTTTATTGCCATTGCAATGGGGAGGATTTTGCATATATTGATATTAACTTTTCATTTCTTTAGTTTTGTACATGTATTAATTTTCTGTAATATTTTCCTCGTGCTATGAGAAAGAAATTGAGTTCCCATCTCTCTTTTCCTGTCTTAACGTGAGACTTTACTTAAATGTGGTGTTAGTGAAGTCTGGATATTTAAGTATACTGCGTTTTTTATTTCCAAGCTGTGCTGTGGTCATTCAAGACTGAACTGAACATGACTACAACAAGAAAAGGAAAAAAAAAAAGGAAATAAACTGAACTGCAGACTGGGATGTCACGTAGCAGGTGGCACAAGCATTAAGAAGACAATCAAGTAGAAAGGACATGTCTGAATTATATGTCTGAGAGAAAGTTCGTGTTCATACCAAAATCTTAAACCTTTTCTACTTTTTTTTTTTGTTTTTGATAATTAAACTTAGAAACCTTTTCTACTTTTTTTTTTGTTTTTGATAATTAAACTTAGAAACCTTTTCTACTTTTTTTTTTTTTCTTTTCTTTAGGTCCATCTTCCATGGGAAGGGTGAGAAATGGAATTGACTGTTGAATTTGGAAAAACATAATTTTAACTTTATAGGCCTTGTTTGGTAACAACTATCAATGCAGTTTTATTAGGCAACAGCAATACCTTGGAATTCCTTAAAGTAGTCTGGGTTTTGTGCATATTTTTCCATGTTATTTGATAGTAGTTAAGTGCCATGTAGGCAAAAAAAAAAAAACCCTTTATTTTGATGTTTTATCAAGAAGCTGATTGTACAAAATCCAATGTAGTGTTAAAACTGTTAGAAAATATTTGAAAAATATTCAACCAAATAAGAAAAAGTAGAAGAGAGAAGAAAGCGTCCCCTCGACACTGACATGGAAATGGTATTGATACCAATTACATACATATTTAAATGATAGAAAATTTTTGGTAACACATGTTCACATATTAAAACATACATAACTTTAAATATAAAAATAAAGACATGGTTGTATTTGTAATATACATTTATCAATTCAAACATTCTTGCTGGCCTAATGTATACTCTTTGTGGATACTTGTCTTGCCTGCCCCCATCCGCCAGCTTAATTATATTTTCCATTGTTATTATACTGGAGTGGAGCAGGTGGTCAGACTGTTTCAACCGGGAACCAGAAGCCAAAATAGTTATTAGGTTGTTGATCAGTTATTATCCAAACTTATCAATATTGCTATTTCTACATAAACCCAAAATAATTAGGACAAAAAAATTTCCTTTGGGACCGGAGAAACTGATGAAAACCTTAACAAATTACGAGAAGTCAGTGTGACGGTGAAGGTGGATTCTAATCGGGCGAAAGACTTGAAAATGTTATCGACTTACAACATTGATGAACATTCATGATTTGATTTGTCCAAAGGCCTGGCCTATCCCTCTCACTCTCAGTCGACAACCCACAACCCCGTATTGATGGGGGACCCTCATTCTCAAGTCTCCACAAAGACTTTAGTACCAATCATATCATCCACACCCCATCACCATAATTCGGGATGTAAGTACAAGGAATTGGATGATTCGAATTGAATTTTATCCATATCAGCCCTGAATCTGGATAACCACTTTAATTGGATTGGATTAATGGATTTGAATCAGAGTTTGGACAGATCCCATTTGCAGCAGCTGCAGCCCTAAATCAAATCTGAAAAAAAGCTATGGGCAGTTGGGCACTGGTGGTAATGACAGGACAGCAGAGTTGAGTTCGTTCAGCTTGTTGAAGAATGAACATAAGCCATCCCATCTAAAAAGGGTTTAGCAAAAAGTGCGGGAGATATCAGATATATTTTCGTATTCCCACTACTGTAGTGTGGTGTAAATTCTTTGGGACCTTCTAACAGTAAGCAAGGTAGACGGTTTATTTACACCAACGCTGATGAATGATTGAGTGATTGAGTCGTGACCACCATTTCCCAAAATCCAGTCCAAGACAAGTTGGACCCCTTTCATCCATTTGGCAGTTCCACATCCCCTGTCCTCGTCCCCGTCCCATCTTGTGTGTGTTCCTGTTTTTTTCGCTTCCCAAAGATTCAAGATATTCTTATCTAATCTATTTTTAAATTGGGCAAATTATATTAGACACTTTTATATTACTAGTGTGCACGTGTTTTGCATATGACAATTTTATACGACAATAATGATAGAAAAAAATGTATCCAAATTTTTCTATAAAATTCATATATTTTTTATTCTTTTTTTTGTTTTTTACTATTAATCAGATTCATACTACAAAATTTGGATCTCTTCTTTTTGTAATATTTTATTTTCTTAGTGTATACTTTTTTGTTTATTTATAAAAAAAATGTAAAATTTAAAGAGGGGGAATTGAATGAGGTGAAAATTGTAGTTCAAACTATATTTTAAACCTCACAATTAAATAGGGATTAAATTTAATGGGTATTTTAGTCAAAAAAAAGTTTCACAATTTTATTCATATTTTTAATAGTGGTGTAAATATGGAGTTATAGATGTGTTCAATTTTTTCTATATTTTCTTTATTTCTATCAATGTAAAAACAATACTATTATTTACATTTATTTGTTAAATCATGGTTTTCAAAACTAGACCAGACTGGACGGTCGGACTGGAAAAATCGGTAATCGGTCAGTCCCTCGGGTCCGATTTTACTTAAAACCGAAAATTGTTAAAAAACATTGAAAAGGTCAGAAAACCATTGACCTGGGCGGTTGGACCGCTAGACCGTTCGACCCAAGCAGCGATTCGTGGGTTAGCATTTTTATTTTCAATGTTTTAAATAAAAATAAAATAAAATAAAATAGCTTTTATATTCCAACCCAGTTCGAATCCCTTACTCCCTTTGGCTTTAGGGTTAGAAGTTCTAACCCTTCCCAAGTTCCCTCCTTTCAACCCTCACACCCTATCGACCGGCCACCTGCAGTGGCCATCAACTTCGGCGTCCGACGGCGACTGACGAGCTTGCAGTGGTGAAAAGACTCACCAGCACTTGCAGCAGCGTCTGGCGGTGAAAAGACTCACCCTCACCAGCACTTATAGTGGCGTCCGACGGTGAAAAGACTCACCAGCACTTGTAGCGACGACTTGCAGCAGCGGACAGTGAGCTTGCAGCGGTTGTCTGGCAAGTTTGCAGCGACACTCGGCACTCAACATTGGGCATTGGCGACCAAGCCCACTGTCTGCGAGTTGGAGCAGAACTTGCAGGTTTGCAGCAGCAACTTGCCTGCGACCAAGCCCAACTGCCCAAGCCCACCGGCAGCGGACCCACTGTCGCACCACCATTACCAGTGTCATTCTATTTCCAATAGCAATTACATTCTATATCACATGGTGGTTTATACATTTTGTGGATGGATTTTTCTCTCCGATCTATGCCCAACTTGGAATCAACATCTTTGGTATGTGATCACTTTCCTGTTTTACCTCTATATTTTGTTTATTTTGGTGAATGCAAGGGGTTGGGTGTTTTTTGTAGTTTTCGTTTCTTGGGTTGAGAAATTTCCTACTTTACATGCGAGTTACATCAATGTTTTGATAATTTAGAACAGGTGGAGATCTCTAACTATGGATCATCTGCATACCATAGTTTGAACTTTAATCTTTAACTTTGAAATCTAGTAATGGCCATGGAAAATTTCTTGCATTTTTTGGAATTTTTTCCATATTTTTTTTGTATTTTATTATTTTTATATGTAGATATTTTTATTTTTTCATATGTTGTTCTTTTTCCTGTATTTTTTGTATTTTATTTAAATTTCTATGGTATTTTTTATTATCTCCCTCTCTCTCTCTCTCTCTCTCTCTATATATATATATATATATATATATATTAAAACAAAGGGTAAAATACAAAAACCTCCCCTGAGTTTTCTGACAATCTTATAAATCTCCCTCTGTGTTTTGATATGAACAGAATCCTCCCTTATAGTTTTGAAAAATGGTGCATATACCTCCCTCTTATTAGTTTTTCTGGCCGAAAACCCTAACGTAATACATTAATTTTCTTAAAATACCACATTTACCCTTAAAGTGGTAACCGAAGCAAACCAATCTCCTACCCCTGTTTTTTCCACTTCTCTGTCTCAATTGAGCTAACCAATCGTCACTCATTTTTTATCCTTTTGCTCTATTTTATTTATTTTTCACATTTTCTTAATTTTCCATCTCTTTTATTCTTCTTCATTCTATTTCTTTCCTATTTTTTTCTTTTCATTTTCTGTTTTTTTTTTACAGGTGATAGGCAAATAGGAACCACGGTCTAGAGACTTCGTGGAGATGCTTGTTAAATGGTTCTAAGCGATTCCTTTTACTATTTAAGTAATTTAACAACCATTTTTCAGAACTATTTAATCTACCCAAAAGGCTTCAACCGTACTGAACTCATCTTCATAATGCGTTCATATGATGTGCATGACAGTACTCCAAGTGTTCAAAGAAATTCCTAACACGATCTCAAATCATAAAACATAAACAAAAATTTCAAACTTCTATTAAGTATTAAGCGCCAACCTATTTCTCTCAATCTTACCTGGATTGTTTTATTAAATTTAACATGAACAAAGTCAAAGACATTGCCTTCTACAAAGATTGATCCCCAAGAGCAAAAATCTTGACAAACTAAAGAAATCAAACATCGAATCTAAATTAAGATTATCAACTGCCTGTTGAAATCTACGGGAATGTTGCTAGTGAATTTGTGGAGATGTTTTTGTTTCAAAGAGAAGCTTGCTCTATTCTTTGTTTCAAAGAGAAGTATTTAAGGGTATTTTAGTAAATTCATCTTCTAAGTTAACGGAACTTTAATGGAAGGGAGGTATTTATAGTTTTTTTCAAAATTATAGGGGAGGATTCTGTTAAAATCAAAACATAGGGGAGGTTTATAAGATTGTCAAAAAACTCAGGGAAGATTTTTATATTTTACCCTAAAACAAAACGGTCAAGAAATTTTCTCCTTTTTTTGAATTTTTTATTCCATGTCATTTTTAAGACAACCAATGAGATGCACTTTCCCAATAGCCTAAATAATCTATTCTC